GTACTGTGTCCAGATTTGGGCGCCAGACTTTAAGAAAGATGTGAATAAATTGGACAGTGTCCAGAGGAGAGCAACAAAAATGATAAAAGGTTTAGAAATTCTGACCTGTGAGGGATGGTTAAAACAAACAGGGCATGTTTAGCCTTGAAGAAAGAAGCCTCAGGAGGATCTGATAACATTCTTCAAATATATTAAGGGCTGTTATAGAGAGAACAGTGATTAATTGTTCTCTGTGTCCACTGAAGGTAGGACAAGAAGTAATGGGCTTAATCTACAGGAAGGGAGATTTAGGTTAGATATCCGGAAAAACTTTCTAACTAAGGATAGTTAAGCTCCGGAATAAGTTTCCAAGGGAGGTGATGGAACCCCCATCACTGGAGGTTTATAAGAACAGGTTGGACAAATACCTGTCAGGGATGGTCTAGGTTTACTTGGTCCTGCCTCAGCTCTGTGGGCTGGATTTGATGACTTCTCAAGGTTCCTTCCAACCCTACGTTTCTACGAATCTATGAGACTGGAAGTACAACTGACGATCAACAAAACAGTGAAACTGATTGTTCTAAACAAACGAAGTGCTATCGTATACTCAAAGTTAAACAAACGGGGGAAACTAATAGAGAATTTTTCTCATATTTATGTAACAACAACTAAATACGGATATATACATGACAGTTCATGAGGTGCTGAGAGACTCTGGTAATGAAACCCATGTAAGTACTTAAGATTGGTAGAACAGTTGATACTATTTTTATGAAGGAACATGGTCTTCAATCTGATTTTAAAAGGACACAGAGTTTCTGCAAGTGGAATTGTGTTTCTAAAAGAACAATAGATAATCAGAAGTGGCTACATCTCAGTTTCAAAAAAACCTTGGACTTAAGAGCCTGAGTCTCATTGAAAGTCAATGGGACTTACGATCCTACTTTTTTCAAAAGGGACTTAGGCAACATCACTTAGGCGCTTTTAAAAATTGTATCCAAATTGCACTTAAAACAGTGACTCCTTAGCTACTCCCCGTAAGGTGCTCAAGAAGTGGAGAAAGTTGTGATTAAAACAAGCTTCCATTTTTGATGTGATATGTAAAAAATTATAAATTCTAAAAGAATTGTGTGAGAACTAGGGTATCTGGGGAGCTTAAAGTCATAGAATCATTATAGAATATTAAGGTTGGAAGGGATCTCATCTAGTCCAACCCACAAGTCAGCTCACTTCCCGTTGGACCTCGGAGCAAGTGTATACATTCTCCTTTTTTTCCCATACCTATCCTTTTGGAACAAGCTGGACTCCTCAATGCTAGTACTCCAATAGTGGGAGTTGTCCCACCAAGTCTCTGTAATGCCAATTCAGTAAATCATAATTTTCTTCATAAGCTCTCCTTATCAAGTTAGCTAGACATTGACCAAAGAAGCTCTTTCTAGTATTTGATAGATGGAGCCCCTCCCAGCACAGTAATCCTCTTTCCTGGAACATCAGCTCATTGTCAAAGAAGCCAAAGGCCTCTCTCACTGACACCACCTGCGTAATCACACATTTACTTCTGTGATTCGATAGTCCCTAGATAGGCCTTTTCCTTCAACAGAGAGGATGGACGAGAACACCACTTGCACCCCCCGGGCCAGCTTTAGCAAGTGTGGGGCCCGATTCCTGGGGCTTGTACTCACCAGGCAGTGCTCCCAGTCTTCGGCGGCACTTCGGATTGCCGGCCGGGGGAGGGGAGTCGCGGGGCTTGCCGCGCTCCAGCCGGGGCCGTGAGGCAGCCGTGCTCCGGCCGGGGTTGTGGGACCATGGGGCTGCCACGCTCTGGCCGGAGCTCCAGCCAGGAGAGCGGGGCTGCGGGACTTGCAGCGCTCCAGCCGGGGTCACGGGGCCGTGGGGCAGCCGTGCTCCGGCCAGGGCTGTGGGGCTGTGGGGCAGCCGTGCTCCAGCCGGGGTCGCGGGGCCACGGGGCTGCCATGCTCAGGCCAGAGCTCCAGCTGCCAGAGCGGGGCCACGGGGCTTGCCGCACTCCGGCCAGGGTTGCGGGGTTGTCGTGCTCCGGCCGGTGCTCTGGCCAAGGGAGCGGGGCCGCCGAAGATTTAAATTTAAAAAAAAATTAAATTTAAAAAAAAATTAAAAAGGCGCCTAAGGCGTGGGGCCCAATTCCGGGGAATCGGGCGAATCGGCCTAAAGCCAGCCCTGTGCACCCCAAACTCTTTTATCCTTCTTCCCAGAGCCACATAGTCTGCAGTGATCCACTCCAGATCAGTCTTGGCAGAATCGCTGGTTCCCACATGGATAAGTAGGAAGGGGTAGTGGTCCGAGGCTTAATGAGTCGCAGCAAACTCTCAGTAACATCCTGAATTCCAGTTCTAGACAAGCAGCACACTTCTTGGGATTCCCTGGCTGGAGGGCAGATGGATGACTCTGTCCCCCTTAGGAGGGAGTTCCTGACCACCACCATGCTTCCCCTCCTTTTGGGAGTGGTGGTCATGGAACCCCTATCCCTAGGACAATGCATCCCATGCCTTCCGGTCGACAGGGTCTCCCGATCCCTTTCCTCAGATGTCAGTCATGATAATGGGTTTTGTGATGTAGGTGTCCATTTGTATGTGGTGGACTGAAGCAGCCAGAAAATTACTTGTGTGTGTTAATGGAAAAAGAAAAGTTGGAGGAATTGCAGCGACAGAGTTGTGTAGAAGTGTAGTGAAACAAACTCTCTACCCCTCCTCTCTCTCCCCCTCTGCTTCCCTTCAGCGGGTGCAGAAGATACTGAATACAGCAGAACTGGTGCAGGTGAACTATACAGTTGGGGAAGGAAAGTCCATGCAGAGGATCTACTTCTGAGGGGCTCCCTTGTCTGCTAGTGCCGAGAGAGGTTTGTCGATGGGATGGGGGGACACAGGACCAGGGCGACATGGATAAAGCCCTGTGTGGAGGAACCCTGTCCCAATCCCCTTCATGTAAGAGGAGATGCAGGAGCTAATTGCAGCTCCGATATTTAAAAAAAATATTGTGGTGAATGTAAAATTGGATTATGTGTTAATGTGATGCTATGAGGAGGTTAAGTTTCTGGAATCACTGACTATCAGATTGTGAATGGCATGACCTGAAAAACCCTTACCCAATGGACTGAGCATAAAAGCAGAACTGTGCAGTTACAGCTGTGTTGCTTGCTGACTGATGTTGGATATAATCAAATGAAACCCTGAGAACAAGACATTCAAGCACTAAATCAGTTGTTTTACTTTGGTTTCTGATCACAAACATCTCTTGCACTGCCTGATTTGATACCCTTGGCCACTTGGCTGTAGGTAGGTACACACACATGATAAAACACAAGTATGCTAGCATTTTATCATCTTGTGCTTACTACAATCTCTAACTAATATTAAATATGTGGGCCTGATCTTCTATTACCGTACACCATGCGTAGTCATTTACACAAGTACTGTTTGATTTGGTAGTGTTTTAAATTACACCCACTTTGCACTGGTATAAAAAACTACACATGCTGCAGCATAATAGGGACCCTGTGACAGGATGGACTTGACCCTGCCCCAGAAAAGGGCAGTGGAAAGGGTCTTCCAAGCTGGTCTAGAGAGGCAGCGTGGGATACAACCAATCAGGGCCCAGCATGTTCATATAACAAGAGCTGCAGGGCCAACATGAGTTCAGTTTGCTGGCAGGGACCAGGGTAGTAAGAGGTGCTCTTGGCTAGCTGCAGGGGCTAAAAGGGCTGGACAGATCAGTTACTGGCAGAGAATGGGGGAGCTCAAGAATAGCACCTGGCTTGCTGCTGGGACTCAACTAAGGGGGAGTGAGGAAGGAGCTTCTGGCTGGCTGCTGGGATTCAACTAAGGGAAGTGGCCCAGGGAAATGTAGAGCAGCAGTTAGTAAAGAGATGCAGCACAAAGCTGTTATACTTAAAGGGTCCCTGGGTTGGGACCTGGAGCAGTGGGTGGGACTGGGTCCCATTCCCCCAACACCAGCCACTGGAGGAAGTGACTATGCCTTAAGGAAGGAAATTAGAACTGTGGCACTTCAGGGAAGGGCGCTGCACTGGGACTGACTCAGCAAGGAGCTGCGGTCAGCCAATTGAGTCCAAGAGGGGTGGCTCAGCAGGAAGGCTGGGGTCACTGAGGACTCAAGTAGAGGCAAGGAGTCTCCAGGGAAGAAGCCCTTGGGGTGCCGCTCAATTCCAGAGTAGGAGGAACCTTGCAACCTAGCTGGAGCAAGCGAGGGTACCACGATGGGGCCTGTTTTAGAAGACTGTGCCCAGGGAGGGCTGCAGAACATTGGGGACTCTGTGGATTGTGTACCCTGGAAGGGATTTTTCTGTGCCTGCAGTTTTTTTTCTGCTCATGGTGCCCCTTGTGCTTGTCAGGTGAGTCTTCATTGACTCAGCCCTCCAGCTGATTCGCACATTCACCTGACAAGCACAAGGGGCACCATGAGCAGAAAAAAAACCTGCAGGCACACACACACACTCGATCAGGGGGTACTTGCGAGAGGTGGGTGCCATTCCTTTACAGATCCAAAATCTCCAAGCAAAAGATAAGGTGGTCCAAAGTGGTGGTGATAGGGCTCTATCCATGCTTCTGTACCTTTCCAAATGCCTCTTCAGCTCTCAGTAGCTCTCCAGTAGTCAGAAAGATTTCCCAAAACACTGTAATCAGCCTGGAACATGCTGGCAACCACATAATTAATCTTGAAGCTAATTATAGCTTTGATAACAAATACATATATTTCCTGTGTGCATGTCATTTTTAACATGCTTTTAAACCATGCAATTTCATATTTTAAAAGCTCTCCTATAGAATATAAACATGCAAATTCTATATATAATGCACTCAAGGGCCAAAAGCCACTAGAAAGTACTCTCTTGGTGCTTTGATCCATTCCTCCTCCCCACCCCCCGTTTTTTTTTTGAAGTCTCAGTTTATACAGACACGCACATTAATCCCCTTCCAAAAATAATCTTGTGCAGAATAACACTACAGTGACCTGGTGCTTAGTGTTACCTTAAGGCTTTGCTGTAGTTTCCAATGGTTCTTTCGCAAGGTGGGAACAGTTTGAATTTCTCAGTAGCTCAGTGGTCTGAATTCACCAGTTTTACCATTTTTTTTCGTCTTCATTATGATCCCACGATGGGCCAAACTTCAGTGAACTCAGCAACCTGAAGAGGTGTTTGCTGGTGTCCATGTTTTGCAGTAATTTTAGTTCTGATAATGTACCAAGAGTTATTTTATAACAATAATATTGCCTGGTAGTCAGCAGCAGAATAAAGTTTAGATTGCAAATCACAAAGAACTGGACGTCAACTGTATAGGAGTAAATGATACTAAAGCCCTATACTCTGACAGTAGCAGTCACCACCTAACAAATGCATAATTTTGTTTCCAATTTTTTCTTCATTCCAATTACTTAAAAGCCTCTGCTACAATGGAAGGTGTAGTTTCTGCTGCTGTTTGTTTCTTACTCTCATTTATAAGACGCAGCAAACCAGATGCATGATATAAATGTTTCCATCATTAACAACTATGACCGTTTCTAAACAGTGTCTAAAAGGATGATCAGGTAAGGGGAAATTGTTTAGAGTTCAAATATAACTTGCCACATGGTTCAAAATCTTTCCACCCCTCCACTCCAAAAACCCAATCAGACAAGTAGCAGTAATCTGACTCCCAGTGCACTCAGGGCTGTGCTCCTGGCTCTTAGAGCTCTGTCTTCACTGCACACCATCCAGGGAAGGAATGAGTGACAGACCAGCAGCAAGAAGCTGGGGGTAAGTGTCTTGCTCTTACTAGGGAGCTAAGCCTGAGTTTGTTCAGTGGACTTGAGATGTCCAGGTGCAAAGGTAGCCCGGGCAGGCATGGGTGGTGTGTGTGCGGGGAGGGGGTTGTTCCTGATCTTTTGTAATTAGATGTATTTATTAGAGAGTATTCTGACTGTATTTTTCCTGCCACTTTTAGAGCAACGAAGGAAGTCTGAAGAGGGGAAAGGTGGGGAAAATATAGATCTCCTCCCGAGCCAGTGCACTCAGCATTTCCCAGCCCGACCCCAAACCCAAGCGAGCACTCACCCAAGCGCTTCCCTGCTTTCCAACTTGGCTCGGCAAGGGCTGGCTGTCCAGCGCCACTTGAAAGAAATTAGCAGGAGCCGGCACAAGCCGTTCAGAGCAACAAACCCCGCTTTGTGCTGGGGCCGGGCTGGGCCCCGTCCAGCCTGCGGGTGCGAGTTGCAGCCAAAGGCCAATCGGCCGCCCCCCACAGAGCGCGGAGGGGGCAGAGCAAGGAGTGCAGGCCGGGGCTGCAGCGCCGAGAGGGTTAAATTTCTCGGCGCGCCTGTTGCCAGTGTGAAGCCAAGGCAGCGGCGGCTCTGGGGGTAGGGGCGCTGCAAGTGGAAGCGCCTCGTCTGCCCTCCCCAGGGTCCTGCACCCAGGAGCCCGGCTCTTGTTCTCTTGCCCCGCTCCCTGCTTTCATTCGCAGCCACCCCTCCCTGCAGCCCCACCTCCTGCCCTCTCCCCGAAGAGCAACACACGAGCGGCGCCTTTAACACCGTCCCCGACCATCCCCGCTGGCCCGGGGCTGCTGGACTGGCGGTCCCGCTCGCTTGTGAGTTGCGCTCTTGGTGCTTTTTGTTTTCCGCTCCCTGGGCAGCCGGTGGTTGGTTTCCAGAGCAAGGCAGGGGCGGGGAGGGATGTTTGTTGCATGATCTTGGCCAAGACAATTTTGGGTTGCAGTGGGTGAAGTTGCCCTAGTGACTGGGTTAGCCCGTCACTGTCTGCTAGAGGGGTGGGGGTTTGTCCGTGTGCAGAACATGAAACATTAAACCACGCGGGGCTGCAGAGTGGTCACTAAACGGTCAGAGGCGATGCGTTGTCTTTCACCCGTTTGGACAGGGTCCAAAAATACCTTCGTACGTAAAGTGCTTTTAAAAGGCAGCTCGTAATACGCCGGTCGGTATTTTAGGGTACAGGGCTTGTTGCAGAGAGTCACTGCCTTTTGTGGCTGTCTTTCAGATTTGGCTTCTGAATAACCCTAAGGGGGTTATATAGTATTTTTAAGCAAAAGTGAGGTATGTGCTTTAAAATTGCCCTTCTGTTGTTTTAGGAGCAGAGTTCTAATCATCCACATTTTCCGCAGCATTTAGTTTAACAGGTGACATGTGAAAACACCGTGGAGCTGTTGCACATGAACTACAGTATTTATTATTACTCTCTTCTGCGTGTCCAGATAAGGCGTCTGCGCTCTTAACCTGGACAATTATCACTGGGGATCCTGAGTCAGGTGCTGGGGGACTGTATTGCTGCAAGTACTATGGTGGAAATAGCCCACCCCCTGCTGGCCCATCTCCAGGGCAGCACTCATCCATTTTTCCTCTCCTCCAGAAAGGAAATGGCCAGAGGAGGGGGTTTCATTCACTGTCCCAGGGCTTCTTGAGCAAGGGAGCTGCAACCACCCTCCTTTTCTTTATGTTCTTAAACTGTCTTTCGCTTGTAATATGGGGTCACTGTTAGGGCTGCCAACTTGCTAATCACACAAAAGGGAATGCCCCTGCCCTGTGCCTTCTCTGAGGCCCTGCCCATGCCCCGCCCCTCCTCTGAGGCCCCACTCCCATTTGCTCCATCCCCCTTTCTCAGTCACTCATTCTTCCCCACCCTCACTCACTCACACTGGGTTGGGACAGGGGGTTGGGGTGCAGGAGGGAGTGTGGGCTCTGGGCTGGGGGTGTAGGCTCTGGGGTGGGGACAGGGATGAGGGGTTTGGGGTGTGGGGGGGATGAGGGCTCCGGCTGGGGGTGGGGCTGGGGATGAGGGATTTAGGGTGCAGGAGGGGACTCCGGGCTGGGCCAAAGGATTGGAGTTGGAGTGCAGGGGGGGAGGGCTCTGGTTGTGGGTGGGGCTAGGATGAGGGGTTTGGGGTGCATGAGAAGGCTACAGGCTGGGGCAATGGGGTGTGGTGTGGGAGAGGGTGCAGGGTCCCGACTTACTGCGGCTCCAAGGAAGCGGCTGCCAGGTCCCTGCAGCCTATAGGTGCAGTTCCTCAGCAGGCACACACATCTCCCTGGCCAATGGTCACTCTTCCCGGCCAATGGGAGCTGTGGAGCCGGTACTTGGGGCGGGAGCAGCATGTGGCATTTCCCTGACCACCTCAGCACCTAGGGGCCTCAGGGACCTGGCAGCTGCTTCCGGGAGCAGTGCAGAGCCAGGGTAGGTAGGGAGTCTGTCCTAGCCCCGGGCCCTGCTGCGCCGCTGACCAGACTATTAACGGCCCGGTCGGTGGTGCTGACTGAAGCCACCAAGGCAGCTGCGGCTTTTTGACCAGGCATTCCGGTCAAAAACCAATTGCCTGGCAACTCTAGTTACTGTCTAGAAAAGATTGAGAAACACTGCACTGGATGTTTCCATCCAACCAAGTCATAGGTTTGGTTTGGCTTATAAGTTATGGGTTATTTTCCCCCGAAGAACTACAATACACGTGTTTCTTGCAAAATTGGGTTGAATTACATTTTGAAACCAAAACAAAATTGGTGAGAAAAGCTTAGGACAGCATGCGCTTGCATAATTGCATTGCTACAGCAGCTGACTGTCTCACCAGTTGTTTGCAGGGTAGTTGTAGATGCGTCCATCAGTCCCAGGATATTAGAAAGACAATGTGGGTGATGTAATATCTTTTATTGGACCAACTTCTGTGGCAAGAGAGACAAGCTTTCAAGCCATCCAGAGTTCTCCTTAGACATCTAATGTCTGTTTGAGCTGCAGGTAGCTGTGTCACAGCAGGGCTTAGGGTGCTCCAGCTTGCTATAGAGATGACTGTTAAAATATTTGTGAGATTCACAAAACATTGAAACAAGGGACACGTGGAGTGTTGTTTGTAATAATCCTGCATTCGCTTTGTTTGCTTTGCTCACTTCTAATCACTGACATAATTTTAGTTAGAAAAGGATGAATTTTTAAAATTTAAGTGAACTTTCTTAGTGCAATCTTTATTAGTAGTATTGCTTATAGTAATGCGTTGACACCGTAATTCAGGTTGGGGCCCTATTTCACTAGGTAGGTATATAGTAAGAGACAGTCCATGCCCCAAAGAGCTAACACGCTAAATAGACAAGGCAGGCAAAGGACATGAGGGAAAACTGAGGCATGAGAGTGTGAAATGACTTGCCTGTGGTCACACAGCAGATCAGTGGCAGAGTGAGAAATAGAATTGATGTCTCTTGACTCCCAGTCCACTGCACTACCCTCTAGGCCAGGGGTCGGCAACCTTTCAGAAGTGGTGTGCCGAGTCTTCATTTATTCACTCTAATTTAAGGTTTTGCATGCTAGTAATACATGTTAATGTTTTTAGAAGGTCTCTTTCTATAAGTCTATGATATATAACTAAACTATTGTTGTATGTAATAAGGTTTTTAAAGTGTTTAAGAAGCTTCATTTAAAATTAAATTAAAATGCAGAGCCCCCCGGACCGGTGGCCAAGACCCGGGCAGTGTGAGTGCCACTGAAAATCAGCTCGCGTTCCACCTTTGGCACGCATGCCATAGGTTGCCTACCCCTGCTCTAGGCCATAATGCCAATCTTCTTAGCAATCATAGTTCACATTTCAGTGTCATAGCTACACTGGCACATCCATGCCCATAGAATGTTAAAGGAGAGATGTGTGTGATGGCCGTCATGTTGGCTGATACACCCAGGTCCTCCAGAGCAAAAGCATGAGCAGCTCCAGCATGAGTAAAGAGTTACAGCTCTGTAACTAAGGGTTGTAACAACTCATATCCTCTGTGGATCAGCACAGAGGGGAACCAGAAACACACTCATTAGCGGGTTACATGTCCATAAACAAAGCAAACACTTAAGATAATACTTGTAAAAATATTGATGAAACAATACAGGGCTACTGTGTTTTTCCACGAAGCTTAACAGGATGGAAATTCACCTTCTCTTGATAAACAGAGCCTGACTATTCGTTTGTGTGATACCTTAATATAATACTTGGCTCTTAAATAGCACTTTACATTTTCAAGACCTTAAATAAACATTAACTGAAAAATCCATAAACACTCTTACCCTGATTGCCAGTTTACAATCTGCCCTTTGAAAGGAGCAACCTGTTGTTGCACTGACCCTGGAGCAGCCTAGGAGAGACTGTGGCTTGGTCTACACTACAGAATTAGGTCAAGGTAAGGCAACATCTGATTATATCAGTGTCTACACTACAGCCTTGCTCCAGCCGATGTAAGTGCCCTACTACACCGACATCATAACTCCACCTCCACGAGAGGCAGAGGGCTTATGTCTGTGCAGTTAGGGTGACACAGTGTCTACGCTGTGTAGAAACTGCATTACTTTCATCGGCTGTTGGCTGTCATTCTTGTCAATTTCACAGCTCCTGACAAGCCCTGAAATTGACAAGGAAGGCGGGTAGGTACCCTCCTGTGAACCTTGTGCCCGGCTCACAGCTGGGGCTGTCACTCCGGGGTAGGTGGAAGGCTCCAGCTGTAAGCCCGGCTACCGCCCAGGCTCTCAGCTACCCGCTCCCCACAGAGCTAACCGCTGGAGCCTGGGCTCCTGGCTTCCCATTCGTCACTAGGAGCCCAGCTGCCACCTGGGCTCCCCACTCCATGTGGGGAGCTCCATGCTCAGAGCCTGGGCTGCTGCTCGGCTCCCAGCAGAGAGCAGGGAGCCAGGAGCCCATGGGGCAGCTGGGCTCCGGATGGAGAGCCCCGCAGGGAACTGACAGCCCGGGCTCTCAGCCCCCCTCCCCCCCCCGCCCCATACTGCCCCTCTTAACTCAGAGGAAGCGCTCAAGGTGAGCACGAGCACCATCAACAGCATGGACATGAAAAACCACAGTAATTACTGTGGTGGCTGTAAGTTGACCTAACATAGGTGGACTTAATTTTGTAGTGCAGACATGCCCTGTGACTCCCCAAATTAGTCTCCCTTCCAGTCTCTCCGCTGCCCCTGGCAGGGAGTAAACTGCATCAGGTTGAGTCCTAGATGTATAGATTTCAAGGCCAGAAGGGACCAGTGTGATTATCTACTCTGACTTCTGATAGAACATAGGCCATAGAACTTCCCAAAAAGAATTCTTAGAGCAGAACTTTTAGCAAAACATCTAATCTTGATTTTAAAATTGTTAGTGATGAAGAATCCACCATGATGCTTGGTAAATTGTTCCACCGGTTAATTACTCTCACAGTTAAAAATGTGTTCCTTATTTCCAATCTTAATTCATCTAGTTTCAATTTCCAGCCATTGGCTAGTGTTATATCTTAGTCTGCTAGAATGAAGAGCCCCTAATTAAATATTTGTTCCCTATGTAGACACTTATAGACTGTAATCAAGTCACCCCTAACTCTTCTCGTTGTTAAGCTAGATAGATCAAACTCTTTGAGTCTGTCACTATAAGGCATGTTCTTTTCTCAGTCTCATTGCTTGTATCTGAACTCTCTCCAATTTATCAACATCCTT